CATGCTGTTGGATTGTGGGAAGATGAGTATCCAGAGAAAACCCACAGACGTGCAGGGAGAACATGCAAACTCCATGCAGACAGATGCCAGACCGGGATTCAAACCCAGAACTTTTTTTATTGCAAAGTAACAGCTGCAGTACACAGTAAAAAACGAAGTGTCAATTTAACACCTATAGAGTTGAATTTAACTCCGTTTCAGATAACATTTGGTCCCACTCGAAAATAGTGTAAAATGTACTCTATGGCCAGTGTCAAATTTTCAGAGTTAATTTGACTCATTTTAGTGTCAAAATCAACAAGTCAATGAGTCAAATTATTTAACACTATTGTTTGTTTACACTCTTCAGAGTAATACTGTTATTTTTATGGAGTTAATTTTACACTAAATTTACTTAAACTTTTACACTTTATTGTGTTGTTTTTTTTTATCTTTTCTCCAGTTTTTTACACATATATAATGTTAAATCTTAGCATTATATGGCTTTTATAAAACCTACCAGTCATAATAATCACAAAGTTATAAGTTCACAGTGACATTTATTCAACTTTATGATCCAGGGACATAATTACTGTAACAGTGTCAGTTTAATCATCTTCAAAACAATGTTCACCAAAGATAGCAATATGGGACAACAAAGAGAGCAGTGTCATTTGCTCTATATGAGACGTCTATGTCAAAGGGCTTCAGATAACATAGATATTTGACATCAAACAACAAAACCTTGCATAGTTTTAATAACTTCATAAGCATAAAAATGTTCATGAAAAGTTACTGTACATATGTCACACTAATGGAGCATTCTTGCTCTCAACTCTGCAACTCTGGGTGTTTCCTTTGTTTCTCCAACATCTATGTTGTAAACAGTTGTTTGGAGAAAGGCGAAGAAGTTGGTCAAGGGAGCACTGTATGACGTACCAAACACATAATGGGCCTTAAAGAGCTCATCAAGATCTCCAACTGAACATGTTGCCTTACATGGAATAGCATAGTTGTCAATCACAATGAAGAATGAGTGAATACTGCTTTGGATGGATCCATGGGCCAGGAGGTAGGGCTGGGTACGTTGTGTGATTTTGTCAAGATGCTGCTGCACACTGGTTCCAACCTACATTAAAAAAATAAATAAAAACATGACAAAAGTATTTAGTGAAAAATTTCTGAATGAAGATCAGACAGTCAAATTTTGAATTGTAAAAATGAAGAGACTGAATTATGCATTTTTATCTTTAAATAACTCTTTAGCAGTACCTTTAGAAATCTGATGAGGTGATCCACTGCTTGAGATGCAGACATCGTACCCGGCCTCCTTTGTCCTTGTGCAGATGGTGGTAGTAGATGCAAAATAGCAGACATGTCACTATCCCAACCTACAGAGCAACAGCTGCAGGTTACCATCATCCCACTAACATATTAATTTGTCACAGTTACCTAGAGGACCAACATACCATTCTCAGCTTCAGCAGCCAACTCTGCATTCCGCAATAAATCCAAGAGCTCAGTGGTGGGTACCAGGCCATGGTTTTCCTTTATGACCTTGGATTTGAGACTGGTGGGTCACTTCTCCAAAAATTTGTTGGCAGTGCCTTCACCAAACTGAAATCTTGTTCTACCTAAAATGCATAAATAAAAGCATTTCACACAGTGATAAGACGGTAAATGGCCTGTACTTGTATAGTGCTTTATGAAGTCCAGAGGACCCCAAAGTGATTTACACCACATTTAGTTATTCACATGCTGATGGTGGTGAGCTACATTGTAGCCACAGTTGCACAAGGGAAGTCTGACATAAGCAATGCTGCCATGTGCCACCGGGCTTTCTGAACACCACCAACAGGCAAGCCAGGTGAAGTGTCTTGGCCAAGGGGAAAACCGTTTAGAAAGAGTTGTGGTTCAAACTGGTAATACACAGGTTACAGGACACACTCCTAAGATTGTTGCCACTGAATATTTTAGTAGTGTAAGAGATAAAGCTGTCTTACCAGTCCTGGTGTGTCCAGAAACCGAGGAAAGACAGAGAAGACATTTGTTGCTTTCTTTTCATCATTGACCATTGAATGACGGTAATGGAAGGTCGCCTTCATCTTCTCACGGACCATGTCATCATCAGCAGAGTGTTTCAAAACAGCAATAGCTGCTTCCACTTCCTCATCTGACAGCACTTTGTCAGCAGTGAAAACCCTGGAGTGACCATCGCCTGGTCCACCACCTAAAAAAAAAAGTTTCTCTCAGCCACAGATTTTATATTACTTTACATATACTCACTATTGAGAAAACTTACTTTTGGGAGATTTGCTACCTGAGGCACCTCTTTCCTCTGCAGTTTTTCTTTGAATGGTCTTTAAACGCCATGCAAGGTATCCTGAACCGCTGTCTGGATCATAGTAAAGCTCCTATGTCAATAAATACAAGCAGACTTACCATTCCATAAACATCTTTGAAGGTAAATATATATGCTTAATGTTGCTAAGACCCTTTTACTTACATATTCATGTTTTGAAAATGGGTCTTCCAGATAAGGAAATAAGGCAACGATCCCCTGAGCATACATCACTCTGACGCTTTTAGGAGGGGATGATCTGATGAAACAATGAGTCACTAAACTGACATTTGAAAAAATAATGAAAAACAATTCAAAACAAAATGTTTCTTTATAGCCTCAGTGTATGATTCTTACACATGTGCTTCTGTCATTGCAGCTGTAAGGATGTTTAGCATCTGTCTTCTGGTTGCATCTGTCCAGCATTTAGTTCTTGCATACTCTTGCATGATTCGCTCACCACCACCAGGCTTTGTTGTCAAGATTTTTTTCAATCAACTTCAACTTCAAAGAAAAAAAAACAAACTCTTGA